TTTTAATAGTTTAGATAATTATTACAAAGCCTAATAAAGTGAAGGCAAGACTGCCGAATTATTAAAAAAAATAAAAAATAAAAAATAAATACTATTTATTCCCCATGCTGGTGGGAATAATGAAATATTTCCCTAGTGGTATATATATGGGTACAAAACACCCATATATATACCGCTGGGAAAATGTTTTAATTATTTTCTCAGCCAGTGAAATAAATTAGTTATTCCTCATCTCATTATAATCATATGACGGAAATTTATATTTTATTAATCACAATTGTTATTGCAAATTTTTTTATTTTTTTTATTTGTTATTTCCTCTGGGGTAAAGCCCGGGGTGATAACAAATAAGAAAAAAAAAAGAAAAAAGTTTGTAATAAAAATTGTAATTAATAACATATAAATCCCCGTCATGCGATCATATTGAGATGGGGAATAACTATGATTATTTAAAAGGTTATTAGTAAAAACTTTAATCTAGTTACAATACTTTATTTATTTTATATTATAAACTAAATTTAAAGTAAAACTTAATTTAAAGTAGTATATAATTTTTTAGGCCTTGTATAATTTTTTTCAATATAATTACTTTACAGAAACTAGCTATTTTTTTTTAATGAAGTTAAGATCATCTTAATGATATTATTAAATTTTTTAATAATTATAAAATTATTTTACAATAAATTTTTAGTGCAAAAATTTTAAAATTGTTCTAAAATTATTTTAAGACTATTATTTAATATTATTATAAAATTATTATAAAATTATTACCATATGCTACCAAATAGAAGCAACCAAAAAATTTTTGATTTTCCCAGGCCAAACAGGGGGGTAGCTTCTATTCGGGTCCAAAGATGAAATCACATTTATTTACATAATAGATTTTAACCAATAAAATCACAAATAAATAGAAGGATTTAATTGGTCGGTTAATTACATGCTTAAGTTTCAGTTAAAAGATTCTCAAAAAATCTTTATCGTAAACCTTACTTGCACATTCTTGTTGCCTATTGTTGGTGTAGAGTTATTATACTATTGAACTATCAATTGTTTTAAACCTATATGAATAATAATAAAATACTCAAATGGTTATTACAAGTGTAAAAAAAAAAAAAATTAAACATTGAAACCTGGCAGGTATAAAAGTATGTTAGTAGATATATACTAATGAGCGAAAGACTTTTAAATGCATACTTCCTTTATTTAGACCAATATTTCTTTACAAATGCCAATTTAGATATTTGTTTATAGTATCCGTGATTTAATCAGGGGGAATTTATGTAGTGGTTTGTGGTGGTTATAAATAGTAATAGAGAATTTTTTTTTTAACCGATAAATTTTTTTCTAAATGTCAGAAAAGGTTGCTAAAAAAAAGGGTTGTCAGTCATATACTATCCAAGACAAAGCTCATATTATCCAGTATGCTTTCTGTACAAGTAACATTAAGGCTGCCACAAAGTTTAGTTTGGACAAGTCTCAAGTTGGCCATTGGGTAGTGCAGCTAAAAGACCAACTAAATGAAATTAAGCATAGCAAGTTATGTCACTTTGAAGGTGCTGGTAGAAAGTGCTTTTTTTCTAAAGAGGAAGCAAGGCTTTATAGTTGGATATCTGACATGTGTAGTGCAGCACTTGCTGTAACATATAATAGTCTTAGGTTAGAAATGTTAAAGTTTGTCTCTGAAGCTGCTTCAAAAAGCAATGATCTTACAAAAATACAACTTGCAAGCACCTTCAAAGCTTCTTTAATGTGGATAAAACATTTTTTAAAATGTTATAATCTTGCCTTATATCGAAAAACAAAAATTTCACAAAAAATGCCCGCAGACTTTGAATAACAATTGCTTAATTTTCAACGATGCGTAATTCAGTTATGTTATAGAAAAAATTATTCTCTAAGCAACATTGTAAACATGGATAAGACCCTCGTATAGTTTGACATGGCTAGTGATCTTACTGTTGAGCAAATTGGTGCCAAAACTGTTCATATTCGCACAACTGGTAATGAGAAAAATCGATTTACTGTAGTTTTGACGTGTTTTGCTAATGGACGAAAGCTCTCTCCTACAATTATATTCAAGGGCCAAAGATGGTCTAAGACCAAACCTCCTTCTCCTTCTGGTGTAATTGTATTTTTTTATGAAAAGGGTTGGATGAATGAACTGGGTATGCTAGCTTGGGCTGATAGCTATATTGAAGGTCGTCCAGGTGGTCAAGAAAATGAACCTTCTCTTTTAGTATTTGACTCATTTAAGGCACATCTTACTGATGCAGTTAAAGCAAAGTTGCGTGAAAATAATAATGATCTGGTTGTTATTCCGGGCGGCTTAACCTCTGTGTGTCAACCACTTGACGTTTCTATTAATCGATCTTTTAAAGTAGCGCTTCGTCATTACTAGCATAAGTGGATAGCAAAAAGTGATTCTGATAAAACCAAGAAAGGGAACTTAAAACATGCAGAACTGCATATTATTTGTGAGTGGGTACTTTCTGCTTGGGCAGGAATTGATCCTGAAATTATCTGACATGCTTTTCGTAAATGTTCTATTTCTAATGTGATGGATAGGTCAGAAGATAATGAAATATATCGTGATGAAATCCTTAGCAATGAAAGTGAAAAAATTTGCCAAGATAAACCCCGCCATATTTCTGATGAACAAAATATTACTATAATCGATTCCAGTGATGAAGAAGACTGTGATACAATTATTGATGAAGACAACGATCATGATGCAATTATTGATGAAGAAGAAGGCCATGATATAACTATTGTAGAAAATGAAGAAGTTCTTGTTTTTACAATAGATAAGTAGTGAATGTATTGAAAGTTTTATAACGTTTCTAGTAATAAAGTTATAGATAGTCTTGCTATTAAACTACTAGTATTTTAAAATTTATTTACCGGTATTAATATTGTTGTAATGATAAACAATTAAAATATTTCTAATAGGCATGTATGTTCCTATAATATAAAAAAAAACCATGTTATGATATATAGGCGAAGGAAAAGAGAATTAAATATCTCATACTATATTCTAGTAATTAAAAATTGCTTTGCTTTACTTAATTATGACATCATACCCAGTTGACCTTTGTTATTAGAAATATTTCTATTTATCAAGAAAATACAATAATATTGAATAAAAAGCATATAGAACTAATTGATTTATATACTAGTGACTATTTTTATTGGTTTCAGGTTAAAATTTGTAGAGTCGGATGTATGGTATAAAGGTTTTCGAAATTGGGGAGTTGCTTATATTTGGTAACTAATAAATTTTTTAATTTCTCTCATTTTTGGCGCCCCAAATCTGGGGTTGCTTTTATTCGGTGGTTGCTTCTATTCAGTAGCATATGGTATAAGATTATTATAAGATTATTGTAAAATTATAATAAGATTATTATAAAATAATTATATAATAATTATAAAATAAT